TCCTTCCTTCCTTCCTTCCTCTCCTCTCCTCTCCTCTTCCTTTATATTAGTTTGTATTCATGTTTATCTTCTTTTTTAAATGTTTTAATAAAATTTATACAGACACACACACACACATACATACACACACTGTGCGTGTGTGTGTGTGTGTGTAATATAAAAAAAGGAAATCCATCATTAACCAAAATGAAATCAAGCACAGTGCACAAGGTGAACCAGAGATTTCTTATCACATCCTCTTTGATCCTCTGAACTTACTCAACCAGAGACGCTGGGATGGGGAGTGGATTGAACGTGGGACTCTTCAAAATTCGGCCAGTGCCACACACAAGACATGCCTCTCCCTGCCTTTCTTTTCAATCGCATCGGTTGTCAGCACTTCACCCCAGGCAGAACGATCCATCTTTGAAGATCACCCACTCGTGGGCTCGGCCAAAGAAGGTGCAAAGATGAAGCTCAGATAAGTTGCTTTAATTGGTGCAACTCCCGCAGCTTGCATCGATGAAGAAGCGAGGAAGCTAGTCGTATCTGTCAGCTCCAGAGTTTAAACCCTGCTGAGTCTTTCTCCTTCCCTTTCATGGGACACGTCTCTGGCTTGGATGTGGAGGACGCCTGCTCTGCCCCGAGTTTCCTTGTGGGTGGTCGCATTCTTTTCTCTGGGCCGGTTCGGCCATCTCACCTGCACTTTGGGATTCTTGCAAGCGAAACCGTGTCTCTGGGAAACAGCCACCTTCGAAGACGAAGATCCTTCGGCCCAGATGATGTTTCTTGTCCCTGATTCTCCTTTCCTGCTTCTACTGATGGGGTGGTTGATGGATCTAGGCTACGTTATTGTTGCTGCTGCTGTTATTGCTGCTATTATTATTATTATTATTATTATTATTATTCTCTCTCTCTCTTTGTCGCTGGCAGAGGTCTTCAGGCCACAGCAAAGATCACGTATCAAGCAGGGCTGCTGGAGAACATGGTACGTAATGGGTGAGGGGACGTGGTGCGGTCCTGGGCAATGAAGCCAGGCCTGGTGGTCCATCTGTTGAAGATGGTCACATGGCAGATTCGTAAGGACTGTGACCCCCCCCCACCCCGTAGTTTGCTGCAGCACCTTCGTGCCCCGAGATTCCACCCTTCCCCTTTGGCCTCGGGACATTGTCTCTTCTGGTCCTCAGCCCTCCAGGGAGGCCCCTTAAGTCACCCCTGGAAGACCAGTATAAAGCCATCTTCCCTTGAGGCAGTCGCGTTGCATCTCAGCTTTGCGGAGGGCAAAACGCCTTGTCTAAGAGGCCCCCGTCACGGCCAGCATCCGCCCTCCCCAGC